TTGACCTTCTCTTCAGCTACAACTGATTAAAACAACTTGAAAGTTGAGTCAGTGAGGTTCAAGCAACTTTCAGTTATCATGTCGTGCAGTAGCTCAGATTCTCAGTCGTGACTTGAAGGGCACTGGTATGATACAGGCTGTACCTTCTGCAACGTGTGTCCAGTTTATAAGAAAATTCACAACACTGTTGGGCACCAGAACCAATACTTCACTCGAATCACACAAGGGCACCACAAGCAGCATCTTGGGGACATCTGACAAACAGACACGTTGCATGTCATCCTGTCGGACACCTGGCTCAAACTGGCAAAAGCTTGTTACTTGATGATGTCTACTTGTCAGCCCTATGCTCTCCGCATATCTCACTCCATTGTCTGCAGTCTGCTTGTAGATTTTCTGTCATCTGCTTGTCTTTCTTCTGCTTTTTGGCTGGCTGCTTTTTCTGACGTGTTTGTCTGCCACATCAGCTTGTCTGTTGTCTGTTTGTCAGCCAACTGCTTGTCTTTCTTCTGCTTTTTTGCGGCTGCTTTTTCTGACGTGTTTGTCTGCCACATCAGCTTGTCTGTTGTCTGTTTGTCTGCCAACTGCTTTCCGTCATCTGCTTGTCTTTCTTCTGCTTTTTTGCCAGCTGATTTTTCCGACGTGTTTGTCTGCCTCATCAGCTTGTCTGTTGTCTGTTTGTCAGCCAACTGCGTGTCTTTCTTCTGCTTTTTTGCAGGCTGATTTTTCCGACATGTGTTTGTCTGCCACATCAGCTTGTCTGTTTGTCTGCCAACTGCTTCTCTGTCATCTGCTTCTCGCCAACTCCTTGTCTGTCATCTGAGTTTGTGCTTGTCCACTTACCTTTCTTCTGCTTGTCGTTTTTCTTTCATCTCCTAGTCTCTGCTTTTCTGCCAACTGATTGTCTGACATATGCTTGTGTCTCCAACGGCTTGTTGTTTTTTCTTCTTTTTATCTCCTAGTCTTTCTTTGCTTTTCTGCCAATTGATTGTCTGACATATGCTTGTGTCTCCAACTGGATGTCGGTTGTGTGCCGTCTGCTCCTCCAGACTTGAAAGGTGGTGGTATCACCAAGGGAGTGTACCACATGCAGGTACTTGATGCAAATGTCTCCCAGCTAAGTAGGGCACTATGACAATACCACAGCATGTGAAGAGACTTAGCTGTAATGGCAGACTGGAACATGTGCGCTGCATACCAGCAGAATTGTTCCTGTCTTACAGCTAGGATGGCAAGCTCCGCCCAATTCTTCCACGGCAACCTTCACCACCACCAACACAATGCAAGACAATCATTTCTGTATGGACATTCTGGTCAGAATTGGGTCTCTGTGTACTGGAGGCCTGTCAGATTTGCTGAACAGCAAACAGTCATGAAGATTATTGAGAACCTTGTCTCCGTGGTGTGTTTTGTCCCAGTTTTACCAATGTGTGCTGGTGGAGTAGTCCAGTGGACAAAGCACTTGCTCATCAAACCTAAAACCCAGGTTCAAGTCCTTCATGGGTACAATCCATAATGTCAGTTGGCAATAGTTGGTGATAGTGCCTCAGACAGACCCAGAGCATACATTCTTTAACAATCGTGCTCATTTTATTCTCATCTCCTTCTCAGTATTAGCAGCCTGTACTCATCCCTTTATCAGCTAGGACTAGAGTGAGTGAGTGTGAGTGAGTGAGTGAGTGAGTGAGTGAGTGAGTGAGTGAGTGAGTGAGTGAGTGAGTGAGTATGGTTTAACGCCGCTTTAAGCAATATTCCAGCAATATCATGGCGGGGGGACACCAGAAATGGGCTTTCCACATTGTACCCATGTCGGGAATCGAACCCGGGTCTTCGGCATTACGAGCAAACACTTTAACCCCTAGGCTACCCGACCACCCCCTAGGACTAGAAGGCTCCTTAATACTTGAGTATGGTTTAATGGGCTTCACACATTGTACCCATGTGGGGAATCGAACCAGGGTCTTGGGCGTGACAAGCTAACGCTTTAACCACTAGGCTACCTCACCGCCCCCTAGGACTAGAGTGAGTGAGTGAGTATGGTTTTACGCCGCTTTTAGCAATATTCCAGCAATGAAAATTGGCAGATGGTCTATTGAATAATGTATGACAGTCCCAATAAAATGACAAAATACGAGTAACACCTTTTATCTAGTCAAAGCCTTGCTATGGCTAGTCCATATTTCAGTCATAAGCTTCAAAATAAAGCTCTTGAATGTGTCTGAGAGTAACTGAATGTATCTGGCATGGGGGAAAGATGGTTTCAATCCATGGTAGCTGTTGGCAAGTCATCACTGGTAGCAAACTGGTGATCCATTTATCAGAAATTGATCTGACCTTCTTGTTTTTGCAAGGATTTGAGAGACTTCAAGTGCTGATTCAGCAAAATTTGCTCATGACCTTACAAAATGTCACATTGATTGACAATCGACAAGTTCACTTAATGCACTGTTTGTCTTTCATGTTTTTTATATAATACAAAAGTGTTGAAATCTATTATCACTCTTAATGATCCTAGTTTCGAAGTCTCTATCAACTACAGCTATTAGATAGACATCTCATTTTGTGCATGGTCAGACACCTTGGTTTACATAACATAACCAGATTGAGTCCTTCAACATTTTCTGTGTTCTCAGTGGTCATGTCCTCATTAACACTTGACTATGCATAGTTTCAAACACTGACACAAAACTATTTAACAAATCTGTCCTGAGTCCTTAAATCATTCAAAGATGCTCCACTCCTTAAATCATTCAAACGATGCTCAACTCCTTTTAACCCATTCAAAGATGCTCCACTCCTTTTAACTCATTCAAAGATGCTCCACTCTTTTTTAAATCGTTCAAAGATGCTCCACTCTTTTTTAAATCATTCAAAGATGTTCCACTCCTTTTAACTCATTCAAAGATGCTCCACTTATTTCTAACTCAATCAAAGATGCTCCACTCCTTTTTAACACATTCAAAATTGCTCCACTCCTTTTAACTCATTCAAAGATGCTCCACTCTTTTTTAAATTATTTAAATTATTCAAAGATGCTCCACTCCTGTTTAACTCATTCAAAAATGCTCCACTCCTTTTAAATCATTCAAAGATGTTCCACTTCTTTTAACTCATTCAAAAATGCTCCACTCCTTTTAACTCATTCAAAGATGCTCCACTCTTTTTTAAATTATTCAAAGATGCTCCAATCCTTTTTGACTCATTCAAAGATGCTCCACTCTTTTTTAAATCATTCAAAAATGCTCCACTCCTTTTTAAATCATTCAAAAATGCTCCACTCCTTCTTAAATTATTCAAAGATGCTCCACTCCTTTTTAAATCATTAAAAAATGCTCCACTCCTTCTTAAATCATTCAAAGAGGCTCCTCTCCTTTTTCAACTCATTCAAAAATGCTCCACTCCTTAATTCATTCAACAACACTTCATTCCTTTTTAAATCATTCAAAAATGCTCCACTCCTTTTTAAATCATTCAAAAATGCTCCACTCCTTCTTAAATCATTCAAAGATGCTCCACTCCTTTTTAAATCATTAAACAATGCTCCACTCCTTCTTAAATCATTCAAAGATGCTCCTCTCCTTTTTCAACTCATTCAAAAATGCTCCACTCCTCAATTCATTCAACAACACTCCATTCCTTTTTAAATCATTCAAAAATGCTCCACTCCTTCTTAAATCATTCAAAGATGCTCCACTCCTTTTAACTCATTCAAAGATGCTCCACTTATTTCTAAGTCAATCAAAGATGCTCCACTCCTATTTAACACATTCAAAATTGCTCCACTCCTTTTAAATCATTAAAAAATGCTCCACTCCTTCTTAAATCATTCAAAGATGCTCCTCTCCTTTTTCAACTCATTCAAAAATGCTCCACTCCTCAATTCATTCAACAACACTCCATTCCTTTTTAAATCATTCAAAAATGCTCCACTCCTTCTTAAATCATTCAAAGAGGCTCCTCTCCTTTTCCAACTCATTCAAAAATGCTCCACTCCTTAATTCATTCAACAACGCTCCGTCAGAATCTTTTACACAGAACTGGTACAGTAATACAGAGGAGACTCCATCCATTCATTCCTTCAATCTATTCAAGATCTTACTACTTGCCTGATTAAATATCTTAAATATGGAAACAAGGAAGAAAATGAATGATACCATCTCTGACACTGACAATATGATGTGGCCATCAAATAAATCTTGTAACCTTGGTAAAAAAAAAAGAAGATCTGTTTTAAGCAAGTATTAAACAAAGAAACATTTGAGGACACTGCAACAACAAGTAGACAACCAACCTTTCATGAGAAACAATACCAAATCTATGAAACTAGGAACCATATACATAAACATATACTACTGGAAAGAAGTTAAAGAACCTCCCATTCTTTCATATTACTATAATCAATCTGCCATGGCATGACAGTGTAACTAGAGTTTGGGGAAACAATCAGTCGTTTCTAAACTTTTTTTGAGTAGTATACACATACATGTTCTCTTATTAAGCCTAACGCAGACAAAGGAACATTCTGATCAGTAATGGATGCTGGTTCCAAGCCCTGGAGAATAAAGTCTTTAGTCAAAACCTTTCTTCCTGAAAGTGTACAACGTCCTACCATGTGACACTGACAAATGTGTGTTATCAGAGGGTGTTAGGTGTCCACGATAACAATTCCAGCCAAGTCATCACTTTCAAGATTCCTATGCAAGGTGGCAAGACAGTGTTGCAACTACAGTGCACATGATGACCAACAGTTGTGTGTGCACATGCTGGAAGCATTGTCGCCCTCCAAGACATTCTTTCAAACCCTTGGTTGAATGATTACAATTTCTGCAGCTTTGACAGGGGTATTGAATTTCAGTGTGAGAGCTGGCTATGGATACCCTAGTACAGATAGGGGGTTATTTTATCAGTGGACTAGGAATGAGGTCAGTGACTGATAATAGAGTAACAGATCACAGTTCTTTTGTTTCAAGTTCAATTTGTGGAAAACATGCTTCACTCACCTGATGGTAATTTCACATTGGCCGATTCTGTCACTGGAGACACAGTCAATACTACAATTGCTAATATCACAAACATTGGTGTCAGCTTAACACATCTTATTCCTTGGCTGAGCAAGTTGAAAGACACTTGGGCCCCTATTCCTAGCACAGTTCCTGTCCCCATCCTTGCATTCCTCCCTAAACCTTTTCCTTGTTTCTTTGCTCTCTTTATCTTTGTCTTCTTCTGTCTATCCTAGGGAGCCATTACATGGACAGGTTTACTGAAATTAGTCCTTGCCCTCGTGAGCTGTTTCACGAGCTGCTAGGCCTGATGTAGAGCTAAGGAGTGTTAAGAGACCTCAAGCGTGCCTTGTGCCTCCTGCAGCGGTAGTGCTGCTCCAAGACCAGTACAGCACAGAGAAGGGACGCTGGTTCACAGAGAAACTGCTGACGTGTTAGCCATGCCCTCAGCACTGGTACCATCACACTGGGCTATATAGCTCTTTATTGCCTGACTAGGGGATACGGGGCTGGGGGAGGGAATACGTTACCTTGCTGACATGGTCAAGATTTAACTGACCTTTGGCTGGCCATAGGCTAATTTGTGTTACACCATCTGTGATCTATTAGGACTATTGGCTCAGTGGAAAGTAACAGTTCACAGTTGGGATTACACATTGGTTATGAAATTTTGCACTTGGTCATTAGCGAAAGTTGTAGAAGAAATATTTTCTTGCATAAGATGGAGTATTTTGAAGTTTTCCTAAAAAGTTTCTTGAACATTTCTTCAGTAAAATTTCTTTGAAAATTTCACATTTTTTTTAAATATATGAATTAAAGAAGCCAAAGCTTTTATCAATAAATGAAAACAAAAATATAATACCCAGTAACAAAAGGTAGTGAGTAAAATTAAATATGTGGAAGGTTGGTTTTTTTGTTTTTTTTAGATAGAATGTTTTTTCAGTCACTACCTCAAAACACACAAGTTTTTTACTTTGAAATGAGGAACCTAACCTGTTCACCCCCATCCACCAACCAATTATGTTCAGCACACCCCTCATAGCCAGCTAACATTTTTATTTAAACTGAGGCAAAAATATTTTTTCCCCTTCAAAAACACCCAGGCCCCCCCCCCCCCCCCCCCCCGACTCCATTAAATGGACGCCCCCTATACTGAACATGACTCCTTCCCAACCCAATGACCAGGTTCAGCTGGTCAGTTCAATCCATCTAACTGTTTCAACCTGACCCCGAGGGAGTCTTTTGCAGATGTCATAACACAGGGGTAAAATGAGAACACAAAGAGCCATTCGAGATTCATCCCCCTCCCAAGTTAAAGAGGAACTAGGTTCAGATAAATCGATAGCCTAACCAGTTTGTCTCAATTCATTCACAATGCTCTCAGTTTGTGTGCAGATCCAAATATGATGATGATCTAGTTAATTATTAATTAACAAAGAATGTTTTAGTTATAAGTCACTAATTATAATGTCTACCCCTCGACTGGAAACATGTACCAGACCATGAAACATAGTTTGTTCGTTTGTTGTTTAACGCCGCACTCAGCAATATTGCAGCTATATGACGGCAGTCTGTAAAATAATCCGAGTCTGGACCAGACAATCCAGTGATTGACATCATGAGCATCGAACCACGCAATTGGGATCGATGACATGTATCAACCAAGTCAGCGAGCCTGACCACCCGATCCGGTTAGTCGCCTTTTACGACAAGCATAGTCACCTTTCACGGCAAGCATGGGTTGCTGAAGACCTATTCTACCCCGGAATCTTCACGGGTCCATGAAACCTAGTCTCCCTACGTGTTGTTGCTAAACGTTACTCAACAATATCCCAGCCCTAAGATGGTGGCCTGTGAATAATTGAGTCTGGGCCAGACAATCCAGTGACTGACATTGTGAGCAACAATCCATGCTACCAAGTTACGAGTTTGTCCCTCCCATCTATTTGGTCGCCTCTTACAGCCAGCATAGCCTGCTGGGGACCTATTTTAACTCGAAATTTCCACCGGAGGCCCTTTCAAACTGAAACTTTTCTATTGATAATTGGAAATAATTTATGGCATTTTTCAGGTTTACTTAAGGGAAAAGTGTCATTTAACTCAGGTGGTATTTGGTCGGAGGGGCTGGGATGGTTAAGAAATCAGGTGAGAACATTGTCTACAACAGCTCTTTAATCATTTACATCTAAACAATGCACATAGATCAATCACGGTGCATCTAATAGTATAAACAATTTGAGATTTAGATTATTAATCTATAAAACTTTTATTTTGAAATAAACTTGAAACATTCCATTCATTGAAACAAAATTAAGATTGCTGAGAAACAAACATTTCCTTAACAAACTTTTGTTTAACTTTGTGGTTCATCTGTTGGGTTGATCAACCTTCTGAAACTGATAGTTTCTTTTAAATATCACCAACATATATTACCAGTACATACAAACACATACATACACTATATCAGGAAATGTCTCAAGCTATGTAAACTGCAGTTATACCAGTCCCCGCTATATTCCGTGATGTACCTATCTTGCAGAAAATCACATTTTGTGCAGAACTTGTACTGAATTTTGCATTTATCTGCCCAAACTTTTAAAAAACATGTGAGTTGAAAGCTGGTTTTAAAAGTGTAAACAGATATTTATGTTGTTTTGGAGTGAACTTTACTTTTGTATAATTGCTTAACTGAAAATGCATGTTGACACAAGTGATTTCCAGAATCACTTCAATAAGCTATTCTAGCAATGGATAACTGTATCATAAAAATCAGGTGCAATACTACAAAATTCATGAAAACTTTGCAGAATTATGTGCAGATTTATCCAAATAAGGTTGCACACTTTACAAAAATTGACTGCAAATTTTTTACTTTTTGACCTCAGAATGCAGCAGTGACCGTTATATATTCCTTGTAAGGCCACACCAGTATAGAGTTATCAGAAACAAACAGTTCCACGAAGTCACCGCCCTGTCCACAAAAGCATCAGGGCTCCACAGTGTCAAGCCATTCCATGGGGAGGCACACCATTGAGATATGGTTCAATTCATTAGAACTGGTCCATCTAACAGCACAGCTAGCTCTGGACAAAGGAACCTAATCAGAGGGAAACTGGGATTCAAACCCATGTACAATAGATCCTGGCATGGCTCAGCACAACAGTTTGCATGAGCTCCCCCTCTCCAACCCAAAAAATACCATCTCCATGGGGGCACCATATGCTGCTGACTAGGTTGATGTCATCTTCTTCATATCCCAATTGCCTTGATCGATGCTCATGATTTCAGTCACTGGATTCTCTGGTTCAGATTTGATTTCTTACAGACTGCTGTCATATAGTTGGAATATTGCTCAAGGCAGCAACCCATGCTTGCCGTAAAAGGCGACTATGCTTGTCGTAAAAGGCGACTAACGGGATCGGGTGGTCAGGCTCGCTGACTTGGTTGATACATGTCATCGGTCCCAATTGCGTGGATCGATGCTCATGATATCAATCACTGGATTGCCTGGTCCAGACTCGATTATTTACAGACCGCCGTCATATAGCTGGAATATTGCTGAGTGCGGCGTTAAACAACAAACCAACCAACCAATCAAGGCAGCGTTACACAACAAACAAAATCTGGATATTAAGAAAGAAACACACCCAAGAATTGTCACAAGCAACTCTCCCATTTGTGTCTGTCTGGCCACTGAGAAACAAACAAGTCCCTAGGTGTCCTCCTCCTCCCCCACCATTGCTTCGTGGTATGTCCTCCTCGGAAACAGTTTCTGTGGGGCTGCCACGTGGAAGAACATTAAGACATTCACAGAAAACCACTCCTAATGACTTGCAGAAAAGTCAAGAGGGTAAATTTTTCCCCATGTCAGTAAGCAACAGGTCTGTGCTTGTATCATATATGGCCTCTGATCATATCTACCATTTGGAAACTATTATCTGTAATTCCATTGCATAACTGCTACGCCGTCATCAGGTTACACTTCCCACAAATCAAGTCGAACTAGATATTTATTAAAATGAACTTATTAGTTACTTAGACAATATCATTTGGAATAAACCAGGCATGGAAATATAGGAATTATCACATGTCAGCATTTTCCAGAATGGTATATCTTGCTGCAACCTATGTATCAAAGTACTGGTAGAATTCCTTATCAAAAACAAAGTAGGGAGTTATCTAGCATTCCAAACTAAGCGCTCTTGGCTTAGGAAAAATTGTTACATTACTTTCTTAAATTCAGAGGTATTTTAACGTTGCATTCAGTGCAATAATGTACGCAAATGTAAGCATTAAAGTCTGTTATCAGTGATATACAAGATACTTTAAACTTGCAGAAGTATATATGGTAATAACTATTGGTTTAAATCATAATTTCTAGATTATGTAAATAATATGAACAAGTTGTCCCTATAAAAACTGGAGTCCTTAGAGTCTAGACTTGCCTGTTAGGAAGAAAGAAATCCAGGGGGTACTACACATCCATGGACTTTTCTTTCAGTACAGCCTTGGAGCAAGACTAAAGTTACTTCTACAAAGCCATAAAATTAGTTATGTCTTGTACACATATTAGTGACATAAACGGTCAAATGGATAAGACAAAGTTGTCCAACATAGCACACTTTTTCCATAAACATGTAAACAGGCAGAGGACAATAGTGTAAAGATTAAACACTTAAATAAGTAAGATTACATAAGTTATAGCTATATGAACATGAAATTTTGGAATTTTCAGCAACTTGTGCTGTTTTTAAGCGGTTACCATTATGGATTGAGTGAGTGAGTGAGTATGGTTTTACGCCGCTTTTAGCAATATTCCAGCAATATCACGGCAGGGGACACCAGAAATGGGCTTCACACACTGTACCCATGTCGGGATTCGAACCCGGGTCTTCGGCGTGACGAGCGAACGCTTTAACCACTTGGCTACCCGACCGCCCCATTATGGATTGGAAGGTCAAGCCAGGGGACTTGCTTGTGTATCAATGGCATGGATCATTGTCATATTGGTTTGGTTTTGGTTTGTTGTTTTACGCCGCACTCAGCAATATTCAAGCTATATGACAGCGGTCTGTAAAATAATCAAGTCTGGACCAGACAATCCAGTGGTTGATATCATGAGCATCGATCCACGTAATTGGGATGGATGACCTGCATCAACCCAGTCAGCAAGCCTGACCACCCAATCCGGTTCGTCACTTTTTACGACAAGCATAGTGGCTTTTATTGGAAGCATGGGTTGCTGAAGACCTATTCTACCCAGGATCTTCACGGGTCATTGTCATATTGACAATCACTGGTTTGTATGGTCCAGACTTGATTATTTACAGGCCTCTGTCAAACTGGGAGAATAGTGCTGAGTCAACAAATAAACATAACAAAGCTTTTCATGATAAAAGTTTCTTTTA